AAAGCGATTGTTTTTTAGAGCCAGACTTCAAAAGAAAACTCGCGTCTGACATTTTATAGCAGCCTACATTGGCGCACAAAATAATTTTGGCTAAAAACTGTTTCTTTCCAAACAGAAACATGAGAAAATTGAGCTAAAAGGCTTACCTGATGTATGTTTAAAATATTTTTCTCTTTATGGTGTTTTTCAGTGCTTTGAGTAGAGAAGCGAATAACTTTTGGTTTTGTCTCCGCAATTTGCCTTTGAAAATGTCGGCTGTCATTGTCTGTGTTAAAAACACCTCAGAAAATTCTTATTTTATCACCTTCCCATCCTTGGTTTATATTGAAAATAAATAAATTCTAGTACCATATGTCCTTTTAAATATATTTGAGGTAATTAAAAACTTCAAAGATGAACAAGCACTGTGTTTTGGCTTGCACATTTTGTTGAATTTGAACACTTAGTTACTGTTCTAAATTTCATGTTGTAAATACCTTGCCCAAAAAAAGCAAATGAGTATTTTTTATAATTTTTGATCGTTTTCTAATTCATATCCCAAAAGATGAAAATTGGTTATAATATAGATGTGTACTAATTTAGTAAATGATTTAGTTTTTGGTTTTTATATAAATTTATGGAGATATTTCCCCTTTAGGTGATGAGTGACATGAAAAACAAAGTGTCACTGCTTTACAAATAAAAATTCTCATTGAAAAGACTAATGATATATGTAGGTATGCAAAGTCATTTAAACTAAATTTGGTCAATCATATATCACTAATGTTTGGTTGAAAAGATCAGATTTTTTTATGCAACTGTTTCTGAGATATTGCCATGTGAAAACTCTTGAATTCAATTACAAATTCGCCATATTGCTTGCGCCTTAGACGGGTAGAAACATTGTAACAGCTTGTCGCTTAATGAGTTAAGGATCCTTCACATGTTTCAGTTGATACCTAGTATATATTTCAAAATATGCAGTCTCAATGCTTGACAAGTTTTTTTTTAGAAAATTCTACTGAATGCTTTCACTTTTTCGTGTGAATTTGTATTTGGGTATTCTTTTATTGTATAAATTAATTTTGTAAAATTTTATTATTGCATGTTCAGTAATAAATGTAATATTTCAAATCCGACTATGAGGACTTGACTAGATTTCAAGTCCGCGCAATTTGCAGATCACGTCCGATGTGAAACCGAGGACTGGATCAAAATGTCAGGACTTGAAATCTAGTCCAGTCCCATTCTCATACCCAGAGCCCTTCTTACGTGCGGTGCGACGAGGGGCTCTGGCCAAATCCATATCTGAATTGGCATCTGATTAGCTAGTTCTAACACCGGATATTGTTTTCTTACCATGTTTTATGGTATCCGGTTATGGATTTGGCCACAGCCCCTCGTCGCGCTGCGCGTAAGAAGGGCTCTGGGTACGAGAATGGTCCAGTCCGAATTGGAGGATTTGAAATGACATTTCATACAAATAAATCACTACTTAATTAATTTTGATCCAGTCCCAAGGACTTAATTAATTTTGATCCAGTCCTATGACTAAATCAATATATTTCATCAAGTGTCCAGTATTATCATGTTAGCAAAATAAAGCAATATGGTTGACTAATTTAATCATGAATTATTAATGATTATTATTACTGCACAAAGGACGTCTTGTTTTTAACACGTTGACGTCCAGGAACCCGTGGTTAGGTCTTTAACCCCGGGTTCATTTAACCTATCTGTTTTAGCTTGTGTATTTCTGCACGTCAGTATATTTAAGAACTTCTTATCTTATTTCTGCACGTCAGTATATTTAAGGACTTAAAATCAAACTTAAGAAGTTTGGAACAAACTACCCCAGGATACAAAAATGCAGGATGATCAAGCACGGAGTATATATATCATATCTATTGTGACACACATATGTATTGTGGGCTTGCAAGAAAACAATGGTGCCCGGAACGGAACTACTGGGGGAGTGTAAAAAAAGTAAAAAGGGGGGGGGGGCGACTTGCCCAGAGGGGGGCCCGGAATGCTTGAATTGCAGAACATGTTAAATATTATTAAGGCATTTTCTGAAAAAGATCAGAAAAGGTAGAAAAAGAGGTAGAAAAAGATCAGAAAAGTATTTTTTAAGGCCTCATTAGGCCATGTATAAAAATATCCTGGTTTATGATCAGCACCCGCATACTATTTCCGGCGGCCCATGTGAGGAACCCACATGAGATTTCCACGATGGTTGGCCATTTTGAAAACACGAGTTCATATTGACAACGTGTATGATATTACGCTTGGGTCTTGGCAATTTTTGGCAATTGTAATATTATTTAAAGTGTAATAGTGTTATAACTGTGCTGCGTGTTTGAGCATATGTTTACTGTGCAACTACTAAATAGGATTTGGTAAAATTTTTTAAAAAATCCACCTGCACGTTTTTTTTTGCTGCCACTGATGATAAAACCGGAATATTTTTTACAGGGCCTTATCTCAAAATTTTTGGGACCTTTTGTTTTCAGAACCCCCTCCCCCCATAAATGTGTTTGAGGGGAGGCCCCCTAAAGGAAGGAGTAGCAAATTTTTAAATTCACCCTCCCCCCCCCCCACTAAGCAGATCCCGCTCGGGACGGCCCTGAATGGTGTATTCAGGGGGTACTGACGCACCATATGTGTATCTATGGATTACTGATGCAAGACTTCAAATAATTAAATTATCTGTTCCAGCCACTTTTTTAACGTCATAGTGTATTTTTATAACTTAACAGACAGTAGATTCCGCTAAAACGAATAACTAATATAATTAATTGCGCTGATCTGTACTGTACAAACGATGCAATATATGATCTATTTATTCGCTAATTATCTTGACAGATTTCATTGGTTTGCTAGTTTATGACGATTGAATCTATGGGTCTTAGGATCATTCATTTTTTTACGATTTTGAAATATTAGAAGCAGTTTATTTTTGAAGTCCGAATTCAACTCATTCCATTCAACTACATATATTTAGCGGGGATTACAGTTCACTTTACAGATTGGTTTACCGGAGTAATAGGTAGCCCAATAGCGTGTTAAATATTTGACTAAAATATTCAAACTTTTAATAAAACTGTTTAATATGGCGAAAATGTTTGGATAACAATGCATTCTGCAGTTCTAGACTTCTAGTTTTATCCTACAGGTGATGCCACTCACTGCATATACCATTAAGTTATCATTATCAGAGATTCAAGTTTTGTTATTATTTTAACGTATAGTTGTTAAAATAGTTTTGAGTATTTTAGTAGAATTCTGACACTATAGGGCGTAACAATAATTCTGCTCAAAAATTGAAAGAAAAAAAAACTTCATTTTTCTTTTTTTTTAAATGAAAAATAGTTTTTGTCAAAAATAAAATGATTCTCATATTTCAAAATAGTACACAAATGTATTAAGATATTTTGCCGATTACACCTGCAAGGGTGTACGTAACTTATTCCGATGGTGCTTTTTGTCAAAAATAAAGTGATTCCCATCATCTCAACGACCCGAAGATCCACGGATTATGATGAAATCAGTGCGTTCGTGTACAAACATCCAGGTGATCTGAAGGTGACCAAAAGGACTGGGACTAGCAACAGAACAGAAATCCGGTTTCATGCCTTTGGTCACATGTCACATCCGGATTCCTTTGTAAAACTGTTTGAAACTTTGTGTCTGTATCTTGCACAGGAAAATGAATAACTGGGACAAATTTGAGATGGAAATCTAATACTGTTAATGAGATATTGAGCAATTTTAAACCAGAAATGGATATCTATTTTACAACTAGTGCCAGGCCTTTTCCGAGTTCTGAGATCACCTGGATATAGACGGTTCTTGACAAATGAGACACATAAAATACTTTGATTATTTTGTAAAATTGGACAAGGTACGACAAATTGCAAATGACTGAGTGCAATTCTAAGATCACATTCAAATTTATCTCATACCTCAACGCCAGCTATGGAATCCATATCAATTGCCGCCTGGTCTTCTTCCCACATTGATTCTTTTTTCCGTCTCTGATCCGGATTTACTAGGAGAAAACGTAAGACATCTCTTAGATGATGCTTTTTCCCGAATACTTTGCAGTGTGGTGATTACACATGTCTGGAAATCGGCTGATTTTGTGAGTTTTCGTTCGCATGATCGGCAGACTTTTAAAGATCCTGCACTGCTGTCGGATTCTTCCAGCTCAAATTTTGTCAAGGAACCTATCAGTTCAGATAACTTCTTTTCTTTGCCAATAGCGCTGAAAACCTTCGTAAAGCTGCTGGATGATTTATCGTCACCACAAACGCAACAAAAATTGACATTTTTCCATCTATAATATTCTTTTCGAGGAGTAAGTTGCAGCGTAGCCATGCTTCGAGTTTCTGAATACAATATATATCAACACGGATTTTGAAGTATAGACTTATGCTTAAAATAGAGATGAGCGTTTAAAATAGACACAAGTGAACGTTTAAAATAGATATGACGAAACGTTTAAAATAGAGATGAATAAACGGTTATGATAGAATAGCGGTCAGATGAGTGAACATTTAAAATAGAGGTGAATAAACGTTTATGATAGAATAGCGGTCAGATGAGTGAACGTTTCAAAATAGAGGTGAATAAACGTTTAAAATAGAGATGAACAGACGTTTAAAATAGACATAAACATGGGCGTCAAAAATAGAGATGGATGAACATAAGTTTATAGATTTGTAGTTGCATTATTTTCAACGAAGCTAAAACAACATGCATTCAATGAATACATTTTTTACCGCTATAAATGTAACAAATTACAATAATCTTTTTCTTAAAGTTAAACAATACCAAATATTGGAATCAATAATACTGAAAAGGAGAGACACCATCGGAATACTTCCAACTGGTTATGGGAAATCAATCTCCTCCCATACATAGCTGACTAACTTGACAAAACCATGGATGATATGAAAGAAAATGCAGGCGGTAACATTGTTCTGATTGTTACTCCAATAAACGCTCTGGTTGATAACCAGATATCCATCTTGCATGAACATGGAATTGAAGCAACTGTTTTGAGAAGCAAGAGCTGGTATGCAAATCCAACTGACAATGAAGAAGATGGGACTGATACACCTAAGGATTGTGAGGAAAATCTTGCAGGACTTTCACTTGATACCACCACAGTAAGGAAAATCAAACAAGGAATGTTCAAAATAATATTCTCTCATCCAGAAGCTTTCATTTCTTGTTTAGAAGGGAGACGACTTCGTATGTCTAGCGTATTGCAAAACAACGTTGTATCATGTGTTGCTGACGAAGGGCATCTTGTCGAAGAATGGGGAGTGGAGTTTCGTAAAGATTTTGTAAAACTATCCCAATTAGGATCGCTTTTTCCTAAAGCACTGTTGTTAGTTTTAACTGCAACAGCACCTAAACATGTACGAGAAGCGCTAACAAACACTCTTTTGCTCAGTAATCCGAGAGTGGTGGTTGCTAATTTAGATCGGTCAAACATTTCTATATACAAGGAGAAACGAATGCCAGCATCTGCAGGAGAAGACAGTTTTAAAGCAATCCTAGTTCCCATCGCAAATAATTTGAAGAATCTATTAAGGGAGTATCCACTCACATTAATATATTTGCCACCAAAGTGGTGTGGTTATGCATTCAAGCTTTTCTCCGATATACTGGGTGAAAAAAGTTATTTTCCTCCAGGAGTCATAAAACCTGAGAATTGTCTTTCTGCCCAGTTTCATTCTCTGCAAACTGAACTAATGAAAAATGAAATAATGAAGCAATTGCAAGGTTGTGACAAATCAAGATCTATTCATGTTGTTTTCGCTACAGTTGCAATAGGAATTGGTGTTAACATTCACAATATTAGGCATGTCATTCATATTACAGTTCCAGGAACGATTGAGTGCTATTATTAAGAAATAGGTTGCGCTGGAAGAGATGGGAAACCAGCAAAGGCATCTCTCTATTACAATGGTCACGATATTTCTCTGAACAAAGCTGGGATGACGAGTGCAATGCGTGGTTTTTGTTCTCAAGATGATAAATGCTTAAGGAAGTTAGTATTGGACTATCTGGGATCACCTTTGGCATTTTTGTCAGTAAAGTGTATGGAGTAACACTCTTGCTGTACCAACTGCTCAAGAATGTGCAAGTGCCTGTCCTGCCAAGTGGATGGAATGGAACTACCAAACGTTTGTCATGAAGGCGATAAACATGTGCAAAATTGAGACTTAACACAGACTTGTAGTCCTTTTAACAAAAATCCACTACAAAATGTCAGTGATGTTCAGCGGGTTAAAATAAAAAAAAACAAATGAAAAAATATAGGCTAAACTTGGGACAGAATGGTCATCACATTGGAGATATTGACACACGTACTGGTGTTACATTAGAGCTCATTGAGTCAGTTGTTTCAAAATGTGACCATATTATGTCAGCTGAAGATATGTTTGCGAGCTTTGAAATTTGGGACATACAGCATGCATATACTCTTTTTAAGATAATTACTGACATTTGTGAGAAATAGGTATAAGTTCAAATTGCTATATTAAAGAACACCGCGGAAAAACGTCTGCGCATGCGTCAACCTTACCTGTAATAGTTAGTTAGTTAGTTAGGAACTTTATTAAAGTGTCATTTACATCTAGCCGGTTACAGATAACCTACTAATTGGGGACACTAAGCTTAAACAACTGAATTTACACCTATTGTATATTACTAGAATTTCTGCTATGATTACATATATAATACACTAATTATTTTACTACAGCTTAGTACTAAGACTATTATTATGGAGTTTATCATGCAATACAACTGAGGTCTGTTTTTCTGACACTACGCTTAAAAGCAGATAGCGAAGTCTGATTTCTGTCTTCGGATTTTAATTTTGACCAAAGGTAAGGTCCATAATACCTTAATGAGTGTTTTCCAAATTTTACAGACTTAAATCTCGGTATAAGAAAGTCTGAGTTTCTAAGATTATAATTCCTTGGTGTGTTTATAAATATATTTAATATATTGTTCGGAAGTAGCCTTTGTTTGACTTTAACTCATTAACTGGCAATGCGCCCGGATGCGCCCTGAGATTGGCAAGTGGGTAACTGGCAATGCGCCCGCATACGCCCTCAAATGACACCTCAACTTGCGGGCATGATATTTGAGCACGGGTTTATCGGGTTGCCTAGCAACGGATACGAAAATAGAACGCGAAATTCGAGCTTTTCAACGGTGTATCATGCAAGAAAATCGGCCAAAAACTCGCAAAGTTTTTCAAGTTTAAAACCTTAGTTTTTCAAAAATAATGAATAATGGCGTTATTGTTGCAAAGAAGGATTTCACAGCAAGTTTTAAAAGAGAAAAAAGAAGACGTTTTTGAATGATTTACAACGAAAATTTGGCATGAAAGGAAAGCGAATGTATTGACGTTTTGGGCCAAGTTCTTCTGTGAACCTTGCGCGGGATTTTCAGCCAAAAAGATGAGGATTTCTCCAAACTTTATTAAAAATAGAAGTCGGAAATCACAAGAAAGATGAACACGGAACTCAAGTGAGCAGATACGATTTTTAAAGGGTATTTTTGAGTAGAAATATGCGATCAAACACTCACAAAATTCGACCGCATTAATGTTGGTTGAATCTAGTTTAAAGTTATCTTTTTAGACGAACTGTTTATGCAAATTTGGGTGCAATTTTGACTGTTTTCGTGACCCCATTGTTGGTATTCTTGTTCAAGTTGTTATTTTAGCTAAAGTATATTTCAAACGACACTTACTGTGTGCGTATGTGATCTTTTTGACCTTTTTGGCAAGAATACTTCAAGTATTAAATTACACTAAATAAGTAGGATATTCCAAAATCACTGTTATATCTATTTTCATCAATTTAGTGTTAAAATGACAACTCGTTTCAGACGTATTGTGGTTTAAAATAAGTGTATTGAATAAACGCGCTTGCTTGCCGCGTGCGAATATTCAAAA